CCCAGAGCTCCTGCCTGACCTGGAAGCTCTTGGCTGAGTTGGCAATGGCAGGTCCTTGGCCTAGCCTGTAGCTGGAATCCCTTCTTCAGCAGCCCACGATTTCATCTGCGTGTAGGGTCCCTGGCTGACCCCACAGTGCTTGAAACTGGGCATTACTGTGGAGCTACTGGGAAGAGTGGGTGACACTATGAGAAGAGGCGCCTGGCTATTGGTTTACTTACTATTCCTTTTCTGCTCGCTTGGATCACATGTCATTTCATGGTGGGCCCACGTCCAGATAAACACGTCATCACTGGGCAAACATCATAGGCTGCAGTGCCACAAACTAAGTCAACTGTGACCCCCAGTTCCTGACATCCTCTATGAGATTCCCGCCGTGCCATGCAGTGGTCATCACCAGGTTCCTCATGCCCTGGAGATACAGTGTTGCCAACATGGGAGGAAGAAAGTAACACCACCCGTGTTCCTGGATCTGAATGTGTTCACTAAGGTGGAAAGCCAGCTCCCAGGTGGGGACAGTTCTACCTGTGAAGCCATGAGGGGGTGGGGTGCAAGTTTGTCCCCTGCTGGCTCTGAGGCTCTATTTCCATCCTGACTTGGGGAAGCCACAATTCTGGTCTTCCCTGGTGACCTCTCAGCCTCCCAAGGGTTCTAAGCACAGAGAGAAAGCACTTCTCTCCTGAAACCTGCTGTTCACCTTCATGTCAGCACCAGGCACATGTCTCCATGCAAATGTGAACCCACAGGTGTGTTTCCTTTTCAATGATAAATAAATTTCTATCCCATGTGTTACCCTGGGGTGTTTCTCTCCTCAACCAGAGTCGATTTCTACAGCTGAGGTCTCTGGTCCCCTGGTCTCTATCATATCCCTTCAGCCTTCACTGTGCTGGGTATTTCCATCTAGGGAAGACTTATCCATCCCCAAGCTGTTCTCACCTCATGTCCCTCCACACTACTTTCCACCTTCTGCTATGGGCTTTCCTGGCCTCACAGAAGCCCAAGGCCAGGTGTGTAGTGTGGGTACCTGGGGAACCTGCAGACCAGGAGTCCATCATCCCATCTTTCATCATGTGATCAAGCTGACATTTGTTTCCCCCTTCCCCAACCCCACCACTCATTCCCACTTCTTGCAGTTAAATTAACCACACCGAAAATCTTATCTCAGGCTCTGCTTTGAGAGTTTAGGGACTTTGGAAAAATACAGACAAGCACAACATTCGTCACAAGTACCAATTAGATTGATAATTGTTAAGGAAGAATAAGGAGATGATGCTGATTAAAGAAGTGTAGACGTGTCTCAAGGAGAGTCTAGGATAAAACCTCTTCTAACTACTTTCCTGGTCAAATTTACTCATCAGTGTGCTTCATAAGCAAAAGAAACTAATTATGGTTGCATTTTGGTATTTTGTTGGTTTTTTGTTTGTTTATTTTTGGTACCTGGGATTGAACTTGGAACCTTGCACTTTCAGGGCAGGTGCGGTGCCACTGAGCTAAATCCCCAGACACTGGTTGCATTTTTTTAAAAAGGGAAGAGCACAGGCTTTCTCAGGAATGAATGAGGAAGCTGAGGGAGCTAGGTCTATGCAGGAGACACCCGCCTGGGACAATAGCCCGGACTTCCCCGGGGCTGCTGCAGCTCGTGTTGGCAGCCTCCTCACTTCCCTGCAGAGAAGTTCAGACCCCGAGGAGAGAATGTGTGCTGGTCACACCTTCAAGACACCTGGCCTCTGTCTGTGGTGCCCCAGGCAGCCCGATACAAAGAAGCAGAGCTTTGCAGAGGAAAACGGACAGTGCCTGGTTATGCAAAGGAGGTGGAGCAGGAAAATTGACCTCTGCCAGATGCCCCTCTCCTTTCTAAACAGACAGCAGGGCATTTACCTCAATCCCGGTGCAGCATAGACTGTGACCAGCGAGGAAGAGCTCACTCGTGCACAACTCAGCCCCGTGAAGCTGTGTGCCAGGTAACTAGAAGTCTATGCCCTCCAACACACATCTCCCACAGACCCACACACCTGGAGGTCGAGATGGTGGCCAGCTGTGTGGTGCTGGGCGTGAAGGAGCCTCTGGCTCCCTGCAGACCCACTCTGGTTGCCAAGGGTGCTGTCTTCCGAGACGTCTGCGTCTGTGACCCTCCTTGGCCAGGTGCTAGGAGGGCACCTCTGGGTGGTGAACAAAGGAGCCCTTGCCGCAGCGAAACTTCTATGTATTTTTTTTTCAACCTTATTCATCTACATAAGCAGATGCGGGGTCATTTCAGAACCCTGTCTAGACTGGCAGGTAGTCTCCAAAGGAGCTGTGCAAACATGGCAAAAAAAAAAAAAATAGATCTGTTTTTCTCTGCTTGGGAACAATAAAGCAATTGAACTTATTGTTTCAGCCTGAGACTGAAAGGAAGCACTGGGACAGCCCCTCTCAGGTGGCCAGTGCTAGGGCATGACTGCGTCACAACTGAATGCGGGGGACGGTGGCTGGAGTGAGCAAGACCTCCTCCTCTCTCCTGTCTGGTGTCTGGGGCAGAAGTTCAAGGTCGGCCTGACGGAGCCCTAGGTTCCTCGCCCCTGGGCTTCCTCCCCAGCAGATGCCCTGTGTGTGACACGCAGTGACCTCAGGTCACCCCAGCGAGTCCTCTCGCAGGATTGAGTTGTACCGGAGCACAGTGTATGGGACTGCACACGCATTCACCCACACTCTTCCCTGTGACTTGCTTACCACACGTAACCGTCTGCAGACCGAGTGCGAGGTGCCCACCGTGGTGCCCGGGGCTGCCTCCTCTCCCCATGTCACTTCCTGTCCTCTTTGGAGACGTCCTGAGCTTTGCACAAGCACTCCTGAGTCTTTGTCCCAGGCTGTTTTCAGGGGAATCTCCCACAGAATGGGACAGTGGCTGCTCTGTGGTGTGGATAACAGCTCATCGGGTCTCAGGAAATCATCCAGGGCCTGGCCTTAGTGACGGATCTACAATTGAGCCCATGCCACCTCTCCTGTTTTTCTGCATCCTCCCAGCCTCTCTGGAGCCCTTGTCTCAGGTGCACACAGAATGTGGGGACTGAGCAGGGCAAGGGCATTGGAGTCTTTGTGTCCCAGGCTCAGGGGCCTGTGCGAGGCGGAGCAGGGCAGGGTGCACCTGAGCCTTCAAGGCTGTGTGACGTCCAGTGCAGGTGACTCAGGGGTCCCAAGTTTGAGCATGGCGTCCCTGCACCCTGCCATGTGTGGCTTCGGTGAGACATCCACATGTTCGCCCTGGACCTGCGGCTGCCCCGGCAATGCTTCATTGTTTCAGGCACGTTGGAGGGCTCTGATTTTCCCTGCCACAGTGTAGATGGTCTCGATCTTCCACCACAGCCGTCCCTGGACCCGGTGTGGACAGGAAGGACTTGGCTCTCCCAGCTGCTCCTCTCCTGCGCCCGGGCCTGTGTGGGCCACAGGGTGGGAGCTCCCACCCTCTCCAAAGCACAGCTTGGTCCTTCCCATCCTCGTCTCTCAGCCAGAGGGGCTTTTTCCTTCCCAAAGGCAGTAGGGCGAGCATTTGGATTTTGCTCCTTCAATTTTGTTTTTTGCTTTTTTTTTTAACCCAAAATACAATGAAATCAAGCTGGAAACTCAGAGGAGAAGCAGCTAACTGGGGAGCTGCTGTGTCTGATGGCCCATGAGTATTCAGAGGCCAGGAGCTTCCAAACCCTGTCCTGCCTGTCCTAAAGTATTGGAAGGCAGGTTTGCGAATGGTCCAATCCAAAGGCTCCGCCCTGCGCGCCTGCCAACTGAGGAAACTCCGCCCCCAGGGAAGCAGCGTGGAAGAAACAGCCGGCAAAGGAAACGCAGCTCGACTACCTGGCATCCCCACTGCGTCAGACAGGAGCTAACAGGCGAAGGACGGCGCCACTGTGGCACAGTGCAGGCCTCCTGTGGGTGCTCTGCTGGCGAGGCCTGCAGTGCAGGTCCCAGGACAGGTGCTGGGCAAGGACAGGTGGCCTTCAGGGCTCTCTGGAGGCCTGGGCCAGCAAAGCACTCTCAGCCAGGCTCTGTGGTCACACGAGCCTGGGCCCCAGGACCCGATGTGTCTGTCATGGGGGACGCATGGGGCCCTGTCTTCTCCTGATGTGAAGCAGGCTCGTGGACGAGGCCCGCAGAGCCCTGGGAGAGGAGGCCAGAGGTGCTGTGCAGTCAGCCAGGCTAAGTAGCCCCTGTCCTGGGCTGCGGGAAGAGCGGCTGCGTTCTCAGCTCCAACCTGGTGCTGGAGGCTGGGCGCCCTGAGCTGACGCATGTTTGCGGGTGTGTGTGTTACGGTGCGTGTGTTGCCTTGGAGGGGCGTGGACCATCCCCGCGGCCATGGCAGCATTCTGGAGGCCAGACCGTGCAGACCCAGGATCCTCCACCAGGCTTCTGCCGTCCCCTGCACCTGCTGGATATGAGTTGCCATCGCTACACTAAGCTCCACTCCAACCCTACCCCTGGCCAGTAGCTGAAGGCATAGCCTGGATCACTGTGTGAAAGGTTATTTGGATTCCTGGGTGCAAATCTCGCCTTCATCACTTCCTACCTGGCATTCTTGTCCAGTTACCAAACCTCTCTGTGCTTTGTATAAAGCAGATAGAATGATAACACCTGTCTGGTCAGGAAGCTGTGATAACAGCCAGATCAACTTATGTGTGGCTCTTACAGGGACATCTGAAGCAGATGTGGTGGCACTCGGGAGGCTGAGGCACCTTGAGTCACTACATAGTGTGACTGTCTCAAACTAACACGATGTCTGGCACAGGTTTGTGCAGGCGTTTGACATACATGGCATTAGTCACCCTCCCTTCATGGCCTGTTCCAGTTTCCATCATAGCCCCTGCAGAAAACAGGATGGGGACGGGAGAGGATCTCATGGCTGTCAGGGTCTTGGCCGCCGGCTGCTGGGCCTGACGAGAGGCTGCTGCCTGTGGGGCCGGGTGGCTGCAGGGCCACGGGGTGGGGCCGCTCCACGTGTGCAGGCTGTGACGGTGTCTCTGCTCTTCCAGGAGGCGGAGATCCTGAACACGGCCGTCCTCACGGGGAAGACGGTGGCAGTGCCGGTGAGGGTGGTCTCGGTGGCGGAGGATGGCACCGTGACTGGGCCACTGGAGTCCGTGGAGTGCAGGTCATCCGATGAAGACGTGGTTAAGGCAAGTTGGCACCCGCCCACCGCCGCCGCAGTGCCTCCCACCGCTGCCCTGCCCCTGGGCCTGGGGTGACAGCCCCTCCCGACCCAGCCAGGTTCAATCCGATCCTGCAGAGCCAACAAGGACCCAGCCGAGGGTTGCCTCTGAACCTCTGTGAGCTCGATGCCTGGGCCTCTGCCCACCCGGGGGAGATTACAGGACATGGGCAGGGCCTGGCACCCGGCGGGGGTGGCCGGTGCCATGTGGCTGCTCTGGGCAAGCCTGGTAGCTAGAGTGTGTGGAGTTGCAGGGCTCTAAAGGATGCAGCCGCCCCAGCCTTGGCTTAAAGAGCCACCCAGGGAGAGGAGGAACTGCGGTCCCACTGTGGCTCTGCACCAGGCGGGGCAGGGACACGGCCACCTGCTTGCCCGTGTTGCTCCCATGACTCCTTCCTCTCAGCCTCCTCTTTGTCTTTCTAAGTCAAATGCAAAGGATTCAAACGCGGCACTCGGTGGGGTGCAGGAGGAGGGTGGACTCACCCAGTGCTGCTGAGCTGGGCTGAGGTGGCAGAATCAGCAGCACCTTGGACGTGGCTTTCCACCAGGCAGGGGCCCCAGCAGGCCAGGCCTCAGTCCCCTGCCGCCCCCAGGCAGGGATCACTTTAACCCCCTGCCCCAATGGGATCAGCTGGGAGTGTTTCTGCCCACTCAAAAAAGCGGTCAACAAACACAAAGTGAATCTCCACCAAGCACCATCCTGGTCAGGGTGTCAGGGCCATGAAACCTGGGGGCACCAGCCCTGGCCTTGAGGGCTCAGTGACAAGGTCAGGTGCAGGAAACCAAGAAAAGAGCATGACTGTTACACACCTCCACTGCCTTGTTCCAGAATTTGCTTTACATCGGTGCAGGGCAGGCAGCTCCCCCAGTGGTGTAGCCATCCGCTGGTGTCTGGGATGTCCTTTGTTCTCTCTCGCTCTCTCTCTCATCCAGGATCCAACCCCTCTGCTCTTTGACTGGCTACCATGCCAGTCCAGACTCTATGTCTCCCTAGATCAGAACGGCAGCCTCTTGCCTCTGTGCCACCTCATCCCCTGCATCCTTTGTCAAATCAGCAGCCAGCAGTTCAAGTGTTCAGTACCTGTCAGGTCAGGACAGGTGTCTTTTAGCTTTCTGTCCCAGGGACTAAACACCTACAGCTAGCAACTTGCAGGCTTATTTGGCTTGGGGTGTCAGAGGGCTCAGTCCAGGCTTGGCTGGCTCCATCGTTCTTGGGCCGGAGGCGAGGCAGAAGCATCAAGGCAGAAGGGCACTGTGGAGGGAAGCTGCTTACTTCATGGTGACCAGGAAGGAGAAAGAGAGGGACAGGAAGTGAGGGAGAAAGACAGACAGACAGACTGATCCTGTGCTAGCAGCTCCTTCCTCCTGCCTTCATTCCACCTGGCCCCTAGCCATATTCAGTACAGTCTTGTCCCCCCACCCAGTTTGGGGTCCCCATGTGCCAGTCCTACTAGAAAGCGCCCTCACAGCCACCCCCGGAAGTGCACTTTGCTAACCCCAATCCAGCCCAGTTGACCTGAAGATGAGCCACCGGCCATCCCCTGATCAGAACCCTTCCCTGGCTTCCGGTCCATGCAAAGGAGAAGCGATGTTGGCAAGGAGGGCAGGGGCACCGCACTGCACACTGTGCTCCCCTCCTCTGTGCCATGGCCCTCTTGTCTCATTCCAGCCACACCAGAGTCTTCTCAGGTCCCCCCTGCTCTGTGTTTTCCAGACAGCTGGTCCCTGCACCCCTCCCCACAGCCTCCCCCGGGCAGCACAGGGACCCGGCCTTGCCCGTGCCAGCTGGGCTTGGTGCCCGCGTGTACCCACTCACACACGCAGTCGTGTGTGCTCCGCCAGTTGCGTTGTTGTCTGGCTGCCCTCCCAGGGCTGTCAGCTCCAGGAGCCGAGGGCTAGGTTGGCTGCCTCTGCTCCTTCATCACTTACAACACCACAGGCATGGAGTAAGTGCGGGGCAGATGCTTGGGACTAAAGAAACAGCAGTGTGTGCTCCTCTCTGTTCAAGGAGGCCCCCCTGAGGGCCCCATCCTTAGGCTGAAAGCGTGTGGGGTGTGTAGAGCCTCGCACCCGGCATCACAGGGGCCCAGCCAACCCAGAGGCGTACAGGACACTTCCATCAGCCCACAGTGGGGCGGCCGAGGGACATGGCTTGTGGAATAAGGCAGTGCTCAGTCGCTCGTGTGGTATGCTGAACACCTGGGTTCCAGACATCTCCTGCAGTGTGTGGGCCATGGTCCTGTGGTGGCCAGTGGGGAGCTGCAGTTCCTGCTGCTGCCCAGCACCTCTAGAGTGTTGTGTGCATACTTCTAGCCCAGGGGAAAATCATTGGCTCACAGACCTATGAGGTATCCAATCAGACCTGTCTCCTCCTGGAGAAGGCCATTGGCTCAGGGTCCCATGCAGGATCCAATCAGAGCCCTGGAAGCCCACCTTGAGCCCCAGCTGGAACTCTCTGTCCCTGTGTCATCCCAGAAATAGATGGCATGCAAGGAAAACTAGAGCATTCCACAGCACTCTGCGCATGACTTGCAGCTGGTGTAGGACTCTGAACTGGAGACACACGGCCTGCACAGCTGCTGCAGTGCTGCTCTGTGGGTCAGAGACGGTGGCAGTCACCTGAAACACACGGCTCTGCTGTCACTGGGGTCCCTGCAGGAGCATCAGCCCCTGTGTGGGCAGAGGACCCTGGGAGGGGAGCCATCCAGCCCCGGTCCCTCAGCCTCAGCCTGCTGCCGTACGCTGGAGGGGGCTGGTGGTTGTGTCTTATTTTATTTCATTTCATCCGAAGGCAACAGAGCCACAGAGGGAGCATTTCAGGTATTAGCAACAGTATCCAGTGTGATTCTTATGAAGTCCACCCCCAAAAAACCCAACTTTAAAAAAAATAGTAGTCTGACATGGAAAGTCCAGAGTTGGGGCTCGTTTAAGGGAAATGTACACAGAACCTCAAAATATGTCACCAGATTCCCGTTTCCCCACATCTCTCCTCCTTCCCTTCCTCCCTCTCCCCCATCTTGCAATCCTTTGGAGAGGGTCCCCTGCTGGGAGCCAGGTGCATGCCGCAGAATGGGCTCACAGCCAACAGGAAAGAACCAGGACTTACCGAGCACTCCTCCCAGACTCCTGGGCTGTTCTGACAGGACCTGCTTAAGTCACTCTGTCCTCCCCCAAGCCCTGCAGCCCAGGGACCTGGGGAGTGGTGTCCGGAGACATTTGGGGCAGATGTGGAGGGAAGCAGCAGCAGGACAGCTCCACACTGGCGCACAGGGGGCCCTGGGGCCTAGGTGTCTGGGTTTCTCTTCTCTTCCCAGCGCGGCTCACTCTGTCCACCTCCCTCTTCTGAAACGCCTCTGATGCAAAGAGGTGACCGGGTCAGCGGGGACAGCAGTTCTCACGTGCCTCCTCCCTTTGCCTGTCCCGCACCCTGCACTGTGTCCTCTCACCCCGATCTGCCCCTCCCTCTCCCTCCCGTTGGTCCCACATGAGCCAGGCCCACCTGGCCTTGCCTTCTTCTGGCGGGGTCCACCTGCACTGTGAGAGCTGGGCCACTTCCGGCTGCCTCATCCCCCTCGCTGCTCCGCCTCTGGAGGGCAGGAGGCTGCGGCTCACATGGACTCCAGTAGCCTCTGTGGGTCGGCTGCCCGGAATATTTCTTGGACAAGGGATCTGGTCTCGGTGTCACCATGGAGGGGTGGAGAGAGCAGTCCCTTGTGTGGCACTCGGGACTCACTGTTGGGGACACTTCCCTCTGGGACAGGCAAAACGCAGGCCCTCAGAGCTACCACTCTTCTCTGCAGTGAGAGCAGCTATGTGCTTGCTGGACAGAGGATTTTCCCTGGGCCTTCAGATTAAAAAAGCAAAAGCAGAGCCAGATGTGCTGGTGCACACCTGTAATCTCAGCATGGAGGGAGGCTGAAGCAGGAGAATCACCAAGTTCAAGCCCAGCGTGGCCAACTTAGTGAGACCTTGTCTCAAAATTTAAAAAGGGAGAGCTGGGAAGTTGCAAAATGGAAGAGGCCCCTGGGTTAGTCTGTGGTACCATAGACACAGGGAATACTCATAGGACAGTAGAGAGAATGAGCTCAGGACCGAGGCTTCCGGGATGGGCTGATGGAATGGAGTTGTGTCACCTGGCCCCGTGGTCCCAGGGCAGAGAGAGGGCGGGCAGGGCCACCAGGGACCCAGCAGCCACCGGCATGTGCATGATTGAGGGGCGGCAGGGTGGAGCTGCAGCCCCCACTTCTTCTGCTGTCCTTCTCCTCATGAAGAGGGGGCTGCAGCACAGCGAGTTCAGGCTCATGGGCGGCTTCACCGAACCAGGCTCGGGGAGGGAGCCAGAGGGCAGGAGGGTAGCAAGCCGCCAGTCCCGAGAATTCCCAGGTCAAAAGGACAGACTCTGGGCTTGGCAGCCAGACCAATGCTAAGGAGCTGCAGCTTCAGAGATTTTTCAAGAGCGGTTTTGTTACAGTGAATCTGACTCTCTTTTCTTTTTAAGTTTTGCTTTTATTGGTCCACATTTGCAGTAATGATCACACCTTGTGTGGAGCTGGTGCATGTACAAGAACGTGTCTTACTTCCTTCTTATCCTCTTCCCTCTCCTCTCTCCTCTCCCTGCACCTCTTGGTGCCCTTCTCTTTTGCAAAAGATGTCTCTTTGCTTCTTATCATCCATCTTTTATTTTCCTCCTCAATATATTTATACTCTGGGTTTCTCACAGAATGAAACCCTGTGATACTTAAGCTGTGTGTCTGACTCGTTTCACCTAACATTATGGTCTCGAGGTGAGTCCATTTTCCTACAGATGACTCAGGTGTGCCCTTCTTTCTGGCAGAGAAGTACTCCGCTGTGCATAGATGCCAAGTTGTTTTTACCCCTTCCTCTGTGATGGGCACCTGGGCTGTTTCCAAGATTAGGTCCGGACTGTCAGGTGAAGGGGTCCTGTGCTGCACTTAGAATGTTAGCGCC